TCCTCCCACCTTCATTGTTTCTTTTAATAATGATTGTTCTATTTTCTTCAAATTGTTTTGAGGATTTTCTCTTTTTAAACAATGATCCAATCACCAATTTGTTAATGACATCATATATGTTGTCATCACTCTAGGGTTTGCATGTGACATCTTATCCTTCTCCCAACTACCATCCTTTGCAATCGTTTATGATGATATTGTCTTTCTTAGAGGTTGTCCATTCTTCTCCAAACAGACTTTTGTTGTGTGACCATACAATCCACATCTTTTACACAAAAGGAGAAGTTTTCATGTTTTACATGAAATCATATGATTACAAAACATGACTAGTTACAAGTTGATTCAAATAAATTCACATGTTCATGCAAGCAAACATTCCCCTTGAGGCATACATGGTCTTGATGTCAAGACACTTTCATCATAATATTCCAACCCTAGGATTATGAAATATCTTTAAATCAAAGTATTGTCAATACTCGCATCACAAGATACAAAATCAAGAACTCAAGGCTTAACTCTAAAGTAGTGATCAAATATCATTTATGAATCTCACCCAACAACATTCTAATTACAAACAAATTTGAAATTTACCATGTTGAAAGCATGACATGTTTCCACCATATCAACTCCTTTTGCCTCTCTTTCATCGTGAAAAAACTCAACGATTTTCCAACAACATCACAATAATCACATCTTTTCAAGACAACCTAATATAAGAGTAATGTCTTAAGCATACCTCAAATTGAAGGAATTGTAATGATGTGAGACTAGTGTCCAAATTTAGGGGACAAAATTATCTATAACCTGTTTCCATACATCTTGGATGAATTGTTCACAAGTTATCCATGATGAGCATCACGATTATGGCACACTACAACACCCCATTTTGTGATTTGTGTTCTAATTATAATGAATTTGAATGTTTTTAATGTCATTAGGTTTAAAAAGACTTTTCAGAGTGTTTTGGTAAGTCCTTAACTAGGAGAAACCTCAAAAAGGGCAATGGATTAGCAACAAAAGCAATTGTCTTCTTCTTACAAATTTAAATGTTCGTTTTTCTTTATCTTGCTTCCATCATGGTTATACTTGTCCATTATTTTTTATAGGATTGGATATAGTCCCTTATTGTTTTCAACAAATTTATAATATTTTTCTATATGCAAGGTTTGTACTCTTATCTTTGATTTTTTTTTTTATTGAGCTGAATTATACAAATTGTTTGATCAATTATTTGTACAACCTTGGAAATTTTAGGAAATAACCGAAAGGTGAACTTAAATGTTGGACTTATGGAAAAAGAACTTTCTTTGATAAGCTGAAAAAGAACTTAAACTAAAAAAGAACTTAAACTTTAAATCTTTAAAGTAAATTTAATTTCTTTTGTGATCAAATAAATCAATAAAGATCATAACGAGTCTAATTAAACATAACTACCATATAAGTAGTATTATGAGTTAATTCAACTATACACATCTTTATGTTTGAAAATGGGACGTGAGGTTTATTAGGTTTATCCGCCTTCAAAATTATAATCAATCAAAACATGTAGATAATAAAAGTTAATCCACTATTTTTCATTGGGTGAAACCCAATCCCATGAGTTATTAGTATTGAATTCGTTTTAATTGATATTCTTGTATTTATGCTTGTTCTTAATCTTTGTTTTTTTACTCTGAATCAATCATTTTTTTTATTAATTATTCTTTCTCAGTTTATCCTTATAAACCTCAATATAACTAAACCCTAAATTTTGAGGGAAGGGTGGAAGATGTATTTCCAAGATTGATTGTCGTCGATATTAAAATAGTATTTGATTAGGAGAAATTATACTCCACAAACACAAAATAGTCATTATTAATGGTTAGCTTTGCAAACAACAAGTGTGTATGTATGTGTATATACATATTAATTATATTATAAATATATGTAATTATATTTTGTGACCATTGATGCATGAATATCATTTATACAGTTTGTTTCATAAAGTAATATTTTTTAAAAAAATTCTTAATTTTGTAATTAATTAGTTTATGCATAAATGTTATATATAATCTGAACGTGATGTTTTTAAATTTGATTTTTTTATTATTAATATAAATTTGAATGCATTGAGCATTAAAATTATATGATAATTTATCTTTTACAATATGATGTAATTAATATTATATTCTTGTGCTTAGGGTTTGATTTGCAAGTTTATATGTATTGTCTTTGATTTCAAATATAAGTAAAAGAAAAATATTATATTTGTTTGTCTCACGTATAAATAACTTTTAATTAATTATACTCTATTTAATGATATTATTTTTAAAATATTTCTATATTTAATTGGGATTGTACTTCTAATGATCCATTTTATTATTCTTGATATCAAGTTTAAATGAATAATAATTTAGGCAAATAAATTAGTATTTAAATGAGATTAGTAAAATTTAATGATGTTAACTTTCTTGATTAATGTAAATTATTATTATTTTTTAATTCAAAATCTGAAAGAGTATAAAAAATATTTATTGAGAGAAATTAACCTCTTAAATAAATTTTATTATTATCGGATTAGTCTCAGTTGACAAATACCTTGAGTTCACCCAAAAAAAATATAACTAATACCACATAAGAAAAGGTATTTATATTTTACATTAAAGAAAAATAATATGTATATAAAATAATATTTATTTAGAGAAATTGACCTCTTAAATGTATTTTATTATCGGATTACTTTCTGTTGACAAATTACTATGAGTTCATCCCCAAAAATGTAACTAATACCATGTAAAAAAGAAGTGTGGAAGAAAACATAAGCGTGAAAAAAAAAATTGCCTACACTTAAAACCTCCCTTAATAAAAATCAATTCTTTCTCTTATTTTCTTTTAAAACACAAACATAATTAAAATAAAACCACAAGATAAAATACATACTTTTCAAAGTAGACTTAATTAAATAATTAATTAAAGCACATATAATATAATAAAACATCTCCACTATTTTTTATAAGTCCCTTAATTAATTAATTTTTTTTATTAATTTATTTATAAAACTTGGAGTGTTACATGAAAACCTAGTATATCCCTATTGGAACAACTGTCTCTCAAGATAAGCCTCTTAATATTTTTCGTTGAAAAAAAAAATTCACCTCTAATATTTGACACACTAAATTTATTTGTTTTTAGTTTCTTATATAACTTTCTCTAATACTTATCAATTTGATCCATACATTTTTTTTTTGTATTATTGTGCCCGATCTCCACCTATATTGATATTGAGCCTTATTTTCTATATTTTTTCCAAATGAATCGATCTTAAACTTCTCACCATTTTTTCTCTTCTCTTGAGTTTAATCAACTTAAAATTAAATATTAATTTTTTTGTTGATCATTTGACTTACTATTTTAACAATCTAATTCATGAGACTTTTGCTAAAAGTTGAAGGGGTTTAATAACCTTGGTGTAAAAATATTGTAAATGTTTACAAATTTATCATTTATGGTGATTTATGATTGGATAATCATGTAAAACTATTGTATACTACCATTTTTTTTTAGTAATCATTTGACTCACCATTTTAAAAATCTAATTCATATAACACTATTTCTAAAAGTTGAAGGGGTTTAATAGTCATGTACTCGATAATGTAAATTTTTTTACATTGTTAATCATTTAAATCATTATTTGTATGACTTTTAATATAAATATTGTAAAAGTCTATAAACTTATCATTTATGATGATTTGTGATTTAATAACTATAGAAAACTGTTTTATATTACTAGAGAATATCTCATTTTTCTCAATGTTAAAATTACATCTAAAAATTACATATTTTAATTTTAATAAACTTTAAAATTAAAAATTGGTTCCCACAATACTTTTGCATTCAATTTGTTGTTTTTAAATATATAGTTTTTATTGGATTGTTGTTTTTAGATTAAAACAAAATCAATTTTATTTTATCTTAATTTATTGAATTATATTATTTTATATGTTTTTTTTTATTAAAAAATACAATTGAATTGTTAAAACATGATAACTCAAAATCAATAATTATGATTCATGTAATCATATTCTTCGATTCAAGTTTAACGTTTAAGCTTTAAGAATGTTTTATTATATATATATATAGATAGATAAATAGATAGATAGATAGAGAGATATAGATAGATAAAGATAAAGATAGATATTTTGTATAAAAATAATTAACTTAACAATGAAAAAGAAAATCCAAATTTCGACCGTTAAAAAAGTTATCTGGACTAATTGGACAACCTATTTTTTTCTCCATTTATATTAAAAATAATAAATATTAGAAAATTTTCTTAAAAACACTAAGATTCGATAATTAATATTAATATTTATACACGACTATTAATAGTATAAACTAGTTATTGTTAAGTTAATTTTGCTTATCATTCGAAAACATTTTTATCCCCTAACAATTTTTTCTAATTCATTCATCCTTATTCTAGACCGTTTTTTATTTTTTTTTTATTTTTTTTAACAATCACAATCTTAGACGTTTTAAAAAAAACATATTTAAGAAGAAGAAAAAAGAGCCAAATTTCAACCGTTGAAAAAGTTATACCGGACTAATTGGACAATCTTGATTTAGAAAACACGTTTAAATAAAAACGAAAATCCAAATTTCAACCGTTAAAAAAGTTATACTGGATTAATTGAACAAGCTGTTTTTTTTCTCTCATTTATATTAGAAATAGTAAATATTAGAAAAATTTTCAAAAAGCATTAAGATTTGATAATTAATATTATTAATATAAAGGGAATAAAATTTATAGATTTAATAATTATTTAAAAAAAATAAATATATAAAAATACGAAGTAGCTCTTTTCCTATTTATTATTAATTAAAAAGTAAAAGAATGGGCTGCGGGCCCATGAAGCCGACTAGCATAGAGCGTACAGAATTGGCGTTTGACCAAGAATAGGAAAAGGACTATAGAAAGAAGAGAATAGAATTGGCGGTGACAAAGAAATTGGCAAATAAATCGAGAAAAACAAAGAAATCAGGGGCAACGTGGTAATTCCACTAACTCTCCCCATTCAACCCCAAACAAAAAGACGTTGGTTCGTTCCGTTTGAAGAAGAAAACTGAGATCTGATTCGACGATGGAGAACACCGGCAGTCTCATATCGAAGGAGAAGCTCGACCAGGTCGCCATGTGGCTTGGCTCCACCGTCTCCTCCGCTTTCTTTTCCTCCTTGGAACGCTTTTCCTGCGTCAACATCGCCACCTCTGACCCCGACAACGACGATGACGACGACGATTACTACTCCACCACCACCGCCACGCCCACCGCAGCCTCCGTAGCATCCGCCGAGCCAACCACAACCGCCGCCACCACCGATCCTCCTTCCGTTGAGGTCAACGGCCAAAACACAAACGACGTCTCCAACCTCCCCGTTTGAGACCGCACGACGACGTCGTTTCTGCTGATGCTGCGATGTATAGACCTTTTTCCTTTTCCTCCTTTCGTGTGTGTTAAGTAAGGAATCCCGATCTCCATTTCTACATAATTTTTGAAGTGGTGAAAAATGTGGTGTCATGCCGTTTTATGCCTCTTTACCTATATAATTGATTAATTACTTGCTTATATATTTCTATTAAATATATTATTATTATTTATTTATCCCGCTGTTGTGTTATTCGCGCTATTTCGCTTGAATTGTTGCTATCCTTTGCTTCAGCTAGGGTTTTATTTTGTCTGAATCATTGGGAATTTTGTACATATGATGGATTTAATTCCAATGCGCAAACGATAGCGTTTAGATGCGGTACTGTCTCGGAACTCTGTTTTTTATGTTTTCTAGCTAGGGAATAGGCATAGGTCCTGATTCATTTATTGTACATTGTGGTCCATTGTTGGTCGAGCCTTACATTGCTAAGATGTAAGAACAATGGTTTTGATTTTTAAAAAAAATGAGATTAAATGTGATGAAACGTGGTTGATGTGTGGATGTGGACGTTCAGTTAAATAGTATTTAGATTTATTGGATGGGTAGAGACTAGAGCCTAGAGAAAGATGTCTAGGTTACAAATACCGTTGCCAATTGCTTCCATGGATCAACATTAAGTAAGAGCATTCAAGTTTAAGATAAAGTCCAGTGTAGCTTTTTGTTAGAGCAGGTATTGGAATACGTGTACGGTGTACCCTCTGATGCTTATTTAATGAGCTGATCACAAGTCATAGTTTCAATTCACTGAGGTGTCGAACTCGAACGTATGCAATACTTTGGTTCTTGTGAGGATGGAAAACAAAATGGAAGGGAGAGGAGGAGCTGCTGTTATGCAGATTCATATCAGTAAGGATCGTACGGGGGAATTTGTGTTGTACCTCCAAAATCTCTTATTCAATTTCTCACACATAATAATTTTAGCACACCAAATACAAAATTCTTTAGTTCATAAATATTTGATATCAGGCTATTAGCATTGGGAATATGTTCAGAGGATAAGATTCCGTGGATGGTTAACCCTTGTTAAAATTGATACTTCATGCTTGTTCTAAGCCTAAGAAAGGTTCTCCACTGGAGTGCCCTTTACTTTTTGTTTTGAAGGATGCTGGATATGGGTGATAAAAATCTCTAATATCTATAATATAATGGAAAGGTATAACGCAATATATTCTAAAGCATAGGACGTGCAATGTGAGACTAATTTAAGCATAAGCTGTTTCCTTTTCTTTCTAGGTTTCATTTTTATCTTCCCCTGACTCTTTACATGTGCATGTGTGTGGGTGAATCACTCTGTAAACTCCTATAGCAAATGTATATCTTTTGTAGTTGGAAATCATAACTTACAGAAAGAAAAGAAGAATCATTGTATATCAACAGTGCCACATTCACTGGCCAGATGAAAAAGCTTTCTTCATATGTTGCTTTTGGTCATCACGCAGTCCTTCTCTCTCTGGCAGACAATCCCACCTGCTGGTTCCTTACCCAGAGCCACTGCAGTGTTAGCCAATTAATTTTCCTTAGAAATATACAGTAATACAATAATACAATATAAACAGTACATTGTTTTTACCGGTCTTACTGTTCTCCATTCTCCTTCCAACATAGAAGCATGACTATGCATCGTCGAATTATGTAAAGCTTTGCTCTCTTCTCCTTCAAAACTCTACCCTTTGGTGCCTGAAAGTTGGCTTGCTTTTCTGTGGATTTGGAAATTTCCATGATCTCGGTTATCTTTTTCCCAACTATTTCTGTTAGAATTCTTCTCTTGCGTTTGCTTTGAGTTTGAAGTCAATATAAGTGGTGAAAGTAAAGGCAAATAGTAATTCTAGTTAGCTTTCTGCGGTCAAACATAGAGCTGATATTCTGGTTTGAGTCGTGGTCTTGGTGTTCTCTGGTCTAACGTCCGGAATCCCGGGACTGCTGTCTTCTCTGCTCTGCCTCACCATTTACTGCCAAAAGACAAAGAAACTGCCTTGCCTCTAAGCCATGTGCTAACTTTTATTGGATGAGTATAAATGCTTAAGATTGACTCACTGGGTTTCTCTTCATCATGATACTGTCAAACTGAACGAGAAATATACAAATAATGTCTCGACCTTTGCACTCAGTGAGATTCTTGTCTCAAAAAAATCATTATATTTTGGCTTTAATTTCCCCTTTTGCCCCTATATTATAGTTTTTTCTCAAATTTCGTCTCAATTTTCCCTCAATTTGGTCGTTTCCATGTTATTTGTACAATTTGAGTTCATTTATTAACTTGACATTCAAAATTTAATGAAATAGTTGACGTGACATTCTACTGCACATCTATGTCTGTTCTATTTGTTAAATATTAATATTGGATGTCAACTTTACAAATATACTAAAATTATACAATTAAAATCGTAGAGGAGGCTAAATTTATGTAAAAAGGAGACTAAAATTGAACAACAACAATAATAAAATGACCAAAAAGTGTAATTAATTCTTAAATTTTTAAACTGAATGAAGTTTCAAGACCAAATTTGTATATCAATTGAATCACCAACTCCTTTCCCTAAAATTTTTAGATGTTTGATGCTAATACATATAAACTCACGCCTAAGTGGGGGGCTGGGTAGTGAAAATATTTAGAAAAGCACTCAATTTATTCTTTGAAAAAATTTAGTCAACCTATTCATGAAAAAAAAGTGGTCATAAAATGGTTCTTTACGATTATAAATATCACTTTAGTGATTAGTGTTTTTTAAAGAGTTAATCACCTATACACTTAATAAAATAAAAATAAAATAAAATAATTTAAAAGATATGATTGGTTGTCAATGTAAAAAATTTTATACTGGTAGTGTATGGATAATTAACTCTTTTTTAAATGAACTAAAGTATCGCCACTATTTTTTTTTTATACCTAATTTAAGTATCTTGATTTTGTCAAATCTCACCTTCATTTATCGGCAAGTGAGAGTACAAAATCAACATAACTAGTGTTTTCTTACATATACATATAAGACCAATTTGTGCAACCGAGAAAGTGGAAGTAAATAAGAAATAACAGAGCTTACCATATATAAAAAAATGCCGTTAATTACACTTTTTTCAACTCTAATTCATTCTGCAAATGCATTTTTACCCCCTCTTTAATAAATTAAGCACACTTCTAATGTTTCGGCTGTGTCTTAATAGTCCGTCAAATTAGAAGCTAGCTCTTAAAAATGCAAAAATCACCTTATGTCGTTAGCTAAATTTTGAGCCCTGTGAAATAGATATTGATGTGTTCGATAATGATAACCATACAATTTGACCAATAATTTCCCTGCGTGAGCGTCAAAAGAGCTATTGAGACCAACACGAGTAGTACTTGATTTCCTTCGCTATTAGGATGCATCTGATTAATAAATGAATCTGGATTATTAACGAAAGTCCATACCCCATTTCCATACTATTGTTTGGAATCTCATTTGTAAGACACGCATGCCCACATTTTCAAGTCAATTCAAGGTAAGTTGTATTTGTGGAAGCTATACACAGTGGCTCTGTTATTGACATGATTTTCTACGTCCTAAATGTGTTACGAGTCACGTTGCAGAGGCGCCACTATTCTACAGTGAGTACCTTTTCAGTATCTAACCTATGATGGCAATTTTATTGACAGGGCTTGTTTTGCAGTCCAGAATTGCTAGGAAACAATGTTTCAGATATGTGTTGAATGATGTCAGCATGCTGTTTTTTTTAATGAATATTGATAATCTCAGTTTCTCACGCCTCCTTTATTGCCTTCCATGTGACTTGTAAGGTAATTCTTGATTTGTCTTTTTTTGTGATTCAATCTTATGATAATTTAACCAATACATCTACAATCTATAATATATTTGGGTGTGAGATCTAAGTGGCCGATTGGCGCGTAACTTAGAAGCAATAATATTTATGGTTGTTTAGTGCCTAAGTTGATTAACATAAACATTTTATGATGTCAAAGACTAAAAAGACTTTGTTTGGATGGTCCGATAGTAAGCTGAGTGGAGTGAAATAATATATAGAACAAAGCGGAATGAATTAATAAAAAAGTGTGAGGGTTTAATTAAAGAAAAATACTAGTACGAAAAGAATTTGCACGAAATGTATTATACCATTATCTTATCATGATTTCAGTCAAATGCTTCTTACTTTTTATTTTTAATTTACCAATTGACCAATAAAATTTAAGCACTTGAAGTTGTGTTTATTCGTAACAAATTCTTTCGTATCATATAGGAACTCCTTTAATTAAAAGAGATAAGGCTATAATAATTAGATAAAAGTAAAAGTGATATATATTATGAGACGAGGGCTACCGTGGACCATGTTTATAAGTGGTCTACGGTGTTCCATATTTTTAACCACAAAATTCATCTAATTTTTATTGTAATATGATGCACCTTAATTTTATTTTATTTATTTTTCTTCTTTTTTCATATATCTAATTCTTTCTCTTTCTCATCCATGCCCCTTCTTCTGCTTTCTCCATCTAATACTTGAGCATCATAAACTCTCTTTTTGCTTTTGCTTTTGCTTCTACCTCCCTAAACCTCCAACTTTCAAAAACTCTAATTGCGAGTTCGATATGTCTTTTGGTTCGAATTCTCCAATTTTACGTCAGGGTGTTTATACTTTGCATCAAAACGTATCATATTGCGTGTCTTCACAGCAGAGTATTCTCCTTGTACCGCCAACAATGCGAAGGATCCTACACAAGGGTATAAGTCTCCATTTGTGTGCAGAAAATGAATTAGCGTTGTTTCTTTTAGGGGAAAAAAACTCAATTGTGTTAGAACCTCTTCCTCTAACTATGATTACGGATCTATTGTGGAATTGAGTGGGTTGTTGATATAAAAAAGGGGATTTTTTTTTGGGTGTTTGACATAGAAAGGAGAAGGCAACGGAAGAGAGAGAAAAAGAATTAAGTAAATGGGAAATGAAAAAATAAAATAAAATCAGGTACATATGGTGCGTCGTGGGAATGAGATGAATCTTGTGGATAAAAGAAATGGTGCACCATACACTTCATGAAGAAGTGCTGCATGGTAGCCTCTATCATATTATGATAGTATTAAATACCCCAAATAAGAAGGGAATAAAAATATTTGACTTTGTTTGATAAAAAAATACAAGTTTATATATATACATATATAGAGACAGATAGATTTGTTTATTTTAATAATAGTAAGTCTCAATAAATTTATTTTATTTAATAATTCATGTTTTATATTAAATTTTAATAATCTAACCGTTGAATTTAAAATTTTAATTCATAAATCAAATCTGTAAAATTTTAAAAAATTTAAAAATTGTTTAATACTTTGTTTCATTAATTAAATTTAATAAATAATTATAAACAAATCTCTTCTCATATATATATATATATATAATTATGTAAATATGTGTAAAAATATGACAAACATTATTTGTGACGATAATTTTTGTACAAATCACACTTTTGTATGAAAGTTTTATAACATAAAACTCACTATTTTTTACCTATATTTTCATTCCACAAAACATATTATTTTCACACACTTTCTTCTTCTTCCTCTCATTTTCTATTATACCAAACAAGTTGTATATTAAAGTGGGAAAATAGTTTTAAAGGAAGAAATATGATAATAATTATTTAAAAATTTATAATAAAAAATATTTTAAACATAATGTATTTTTTTCTCCAAGTATTAAATTTACAATTTTGATCCTATGAATTTTAATCAAGTGATTTTAGTGCATCAAGTACTTTTTTGGAATTAAGAATTTGGATTTAAATATTATTTTTTAACATTTTGACACTTTCTTATTATATTTTTACATGTCATCTCATCGTGTCATCTTATTAATACATAATCATTTATATCTCTTTAACAAAAATTGATAAAAAAAATTAACATTACTTGATTACAATACTTAAGAGATTAATATCGTTTAATTGAAATTTAAGGGTTAAGAGTACATAATTAGAATACTAGATACATTTAAGTCTAAACTATATTATAATTTAAATTATCATAAATAAATATTTTCAAATGTAAGTTACTTTTAAAGTTAATATACAAATAATGATATTTTTTTTACAAGACAATGAACAATATTTGGACACTTAATTTTGAACACTCCATCAATATCTTTTATTTCTTTTGATATTTTTTTTATTATAAAAAATTTCACATGAACTAATAATATGACTAAAATAAAATATATAAATAAAAATAAATTCTCATTTTATAAGTCAATTTTATAATTTTATAAGATAAAATTAGACTTATTTTCATTTTCTTAATATGACATTAGACTTACTTATAAGTATTGTTAAAGTTATTAAACCATCCTTTTAGATTGCACAAATATAAAGTCCCACGTACTTCACATTGAAAATAAAAATGAACAATATTAAAGTTAATATTAAACTTATTAAACCATCCTTTTGGATTCCATTATCATTTAATGAAATGATCATAATAATAATATTAAAGTGTATTATAGAAGTGTTGATCTCATATATGAACATTAAAAATGTTTTAGAAATTATGCATCAAGTATAAGATGATAATAATAGTATGGAAAATGCTGTATCTTCAGAAAACGTTGGCCGAAAAATTGTCCGAATAATTAAAAAAAAAATTATTTTTTAATATTCATAACGTTTTTGGGCCTGCGTTTTCGGAGGCTGTAGCGTTACTCTAATAGTATATATCTTCTTCTTAATTCATAGAAACCAATTTTGTTAGGTTTGCGACATTCTTAATATAATTGTTTCTTAGAGTTAGAGAAAGGTTCCAAAGCATAAGTCAAGTTGCTTGTCTAGCTTGAATCGCCGGCACCGCAAATCGCTGTCATGGGTGGTTTGTTCTCTTCTTCTTCATCTTCATCATCTTTTGACTTGATTTGATTTAATTACTATCATCTTTCCCCAAACTCACTCACCTTGTTTAATTTCAATGGCACTCCGCCTCGCATGCCTCTCACTAACACTACTCACTGTGACAGCAACAGCAACAGCAACGCACTGTGACATGGCCGTCACGCCGTCAACCCCTCTCCTCTCCTTCCTCCAACGCCTCCAACAAACGGCGTTCGAAACCCTCGGCGCCGCTTCCGACTTCGATCCCAAGACCTACGTGGACCTGCCTCTCAACTTCTCCCTCTCCGACACCCAAAGCGCCTTCCAGAACCTTCCGAGGAGCGCCAACGGCTCCGTCCCCGTCCAGAGCCTCAAGCGCTTTCTACAAGCGTTCTTCGGAGGCGCAGGGGACGATCTCCTGTACCTGGACCCACCGGATTTCGTCCCCGACCCCGTGGGCTTCTTGCCCAAGGTGAAGCACCCCCTCGTCAGGGCCTGGGCCTTGCAGCTCCATTCGCTCTGGAAAAACTTGACGCGCCAAATATCCCCTGCGGTGCAGGCGCACCCGCACTTGCATACGCTGCTCCCTCTCCCTGCTTCTCTTGTCATTCCCGGCTCGCGTTTTCGCGAGGTTTATTACTGGGATTCCTATTGGGTAATTAGGTCCGTTTCTTGCTTCCTTCTCTTCCTACTCGGCCCATTGGGCCTGCCGCTACTTACTCTCTTTTATTGGGCTTCAGGGGCCTGCTGGCCAGTAAAATGCACCACACTGCTACGGCCATTGTCACCAATCTCATTTCCTTGATAGAGGAATATGGCTTTGTTCTTAATGGGGCTAGAGCATACTACACTAACAGGAGGTACTCTGTTTATGCTATTTCCCAACAAAAATAATAATAACTATGAAGTTTAAATATTAATTCGGTTCTTATAATTTCATCAAGGATCTAATGGTCATATTAAGTAAGTGTTAAAGTTTTTACTTCAATTATTATTATGATGACTTTTAGAATAGTTATCGTAAAAATCAACAAATTTATTGTACATGATGATTGTGATTAGATAATTGCGTAAAATTGTTGTAATTTTTTTTTCTTTTATAAATTTTATCTTAAGTTTCTATAATTAAAAATATTTTATTTTAATATTTGTTGTACATAATTTTTTTGTTGTTTCTTTTTAGTCTTTAAATTTTATAAATTTTATTTTTTAATCTTTATATTAAATAGATAGCAGGATTTAAAGGAAATGAAAACATTATATAAGGCGTAAGATAAAATATTTTTAACTACGTAGACTAAAAGTTACTAAAATTCATGAAATTATGAGATATTTAAACCTACTTATAATTAACATTGTACGTAAGTTTTCTACTTAAAAAACGTACTGAACGACTTTTGTTTCCTTTTTGATTTTTTTTTTTTTGGTTCCTATATTTGTCTTCTTAGAGCATTAGAGCATCTGCAGCGTATAAGCAATTTACTATGTCACATTATTTATTTTCCTCTCTTTTTCTTAAACAACGGAGTTTCTATAAGTAATTTTGTTAAAATTTAAGCAACCTATTTTAACACCTAAACAATGAAAAGCCTGTAGAACTTACTAATAAATTTAAACTCTTGGATTGGCTAACCTATTTCTGTGGCAATTGCAACATCTCATAGCAATTATGTAAAATGGCTAGAAGTTCTGCCAATGTGGAATTAATGTGCAGTGTTGCGAAAATGAAATAGAATAAGCTTGCAGCATTTTACTAATTTTCCTATTTACTAAATGGATGAAGTATTGAAATATTTACAAGGGATATATCGTCACTCCTGTTTCAACTTGAACCTTCATTTTTCTTCAGTTTTTGTTTTGTGCTTATGATGTATTTGCACTTAAAATATCGATTTCCTTTTCTTATTCCAGGTTTTCTAATTTAATCTTTTGATTTTAAAACAACTTAACGAATATGGTGATATCATGCCATTCTCATTCATATCTGCACTGCTTATTTTGAAATAAAAGGAAATTATTACAAATAATTATTGTTCTTTTAAACAGAATAGTTGACTATAAGCTTTACTACGATTTTACAGCCAGCCTCCCCTTTTAAGCGCTATGATTTATGAGATATACGGTAGCACGGGTGACATGCAATTGGTTAAAAGATCTCTACCTGCACTATTGAAAGAGTATGAATTTTGGAATTCAGGTATTGCACTACAACTGTTGCCTCAAATCTCAATCATTTTATTATCTGTGGTTGGATGATATATATATTTGTGCCTTCTAGGTTTCCCACATTGATTTTAACTTTTATTTTGCCTTGTAGATATACATAAAGTGACCGTTTTGGATGCTCAAGGTTGCACTCACATCTTAAATCGTTATAATGCGATGTGGGACAAACCCAGGCCAGAATCATCCATAATGGTGTGTGTGGTTTGTTAACAACTCTGGTATTGATAAAATGGCACCTTAACTATAACTTTGGGTAATTCATGCCTTAGGACGAGGCATCTGCTTCCAATTTCTCGAGTGTTTCAGAAAAACAACAGTTTTACCGTGATGTGGCATCAGCTGCTGAATCAGGATGGGATTTCAGCACCAGATGGATGAGGTACTATTTTGTATACACTAAAATTTTCAGCCTCCTAAAAAGAAAAAAAGTCATCTGAATATCTGCCTAGGCATTGAGATGCACTTGCTGTAATTCGGTGATTATGAGCGGTCCCAAGCCTAAGCAGGGCTCTTTAAATCAAATGCTCACTTTTATCAGAAGGCTTAGTTTTCACACGTTTCCTTCTTTAAGAGCCAAAAATACTTACATGAAATCATACCTAACCACTATAGTCGGTCTAATGGTAATAGGTTGAGGTAGTGTGCATGAAATATTAGATTTGAACCCTGTTCCATCATTGTAATTTCTTGAATCAAAATAAATATGAAATCATAATGCTTTTGATGCAGAAACCCGCCTAATTTCACAACAATGGCTACAACATCTGTGGTACCTGTTGACTTGAATGCATTTCTACTCGGGGTATGTCTTAGACCAATGACTAAAAGAAGTCCTAAAATATTGTCTGTAACCTTATCAATTCTGTGATGGCCATTGGTTCAGATGGAGCTCAATATTGCCTTCTTTGCAAAAGTTACTGGAGATAATAGCAATGCTGAGCGTTTCCTGGAAATTTCTGATCATAGAAAAAAGGCAATGAACTCTGTTTTCTGGAATGCAAACAAGAAACAATGGCTTGATTACTGGCTCAGCAATAAATGTGAGGTATTTCCTGGAGCCACTTGTATTCATCTACCATAAGATGAGCTGTCTTAGCCTTTTGCATTGCAGTTCTTCTGACTGTATATTTGATACTTTTAGGATGTTCATGTTTGGGAAAGCGGGCACCAGAATCAAAATGTATTTGCTTCCAATTTTGTTCCCTTGTGGATGAAGCCATTTTACTCAGGTATGCATATGTTACCACATCAACTTTAGTTGCGACTAATAAGTAAATTTAAGTATGTAACCAGCTGTTGCAATCATTGTGGTATCAATTTATTATTGGGTTCAATCCTTGTTGTTTGCTAATGAGCAAGCTTGAACGTTATTTACAGGAGCTTGCCTTGAATACAAATCATTCATGCATAGAGAATCAGGAACTTAATATCGATTTCCATAACTTATGGATTGCAGTTTTCGTCAGTTTGATTGTTCAATTATAGGTTAACTAGTTGCCTTATGGATCTTGCATGATAGGTTTTATAGTAACTGTAGATTAATTTAGTACGTGAGTTGAATAGTTGGTCTTTTAACATGTGGATTGATTGCTAAACAGGTTTAGGTTAGCAAGTGATTTTATGAAAAATGATCTAAAAAGGTGTTCAGCAGTGTCACGGGTAACATTAGTTTAAATAAGGAAGGAGTTTCTATTGAATGCACACAGAGGGTGCTTTAACAAATTTACTTCTAAAATATTTTTTGCTTGATATCAAACGAGCACCACCAACCAATAACCTTTCTCTCTGAAACGTTGAAAAAGATTTTCCTGCATTTTAAGCTGATTATAAATATGCTTTATTTTCATCAAGATACTTCACTTGTGGGTAGTGTTGTTGAAAGTCTCAAAACTTCTGGCCTGATCCGTGCTGCTGGATTTGCAACTTCTTTAACTGATTCAGGACAACAGTGGTAAGTAATAAGCATGGTGAGGTTGGGAAGGGAAGAGTAGACAGGTAAAAAAATATTTCAGTTAATCATCATTTGTTAAGGGCTCTTATATACTGGCAATAGGGACTTTCCGAATGGGTGGGCTCCACTTCAACATATGCTAGTGGAAGGCCTGCTAAAATCAGGGTTGAAAGAAGCTAGGTCATTGGCTGAGGAAATTGCCATCAGATGGATCACAACCAACTATATTGTTTACAAGAAAACAGGTGTAATGCATGAAAAGTATAACGTAGAGCGTTGTGGAGAATTTGGAGGTGGGGGCGAATATGTACCCCAGGTATGCCTCGGCTCCATATTTTGTTTTTGGTCTAGGGAAACGTTTGAGAAAAATATAGTATGAATGGAAGAAATTTGACTAGTAACTTTTTTCTGTATGGATTTGTTATTATTAGCCTTCTTTCAGAGGGACAAAATAAATGATATCTCCCATCTCTCTCTGTTATGTGCCTGTTTCCACATGAATCTGACTTGGTTGTATTACAATACAGACTGGTTTTGGCTGGTCAAATGGAGTTGTCTTGGCATTCTTGGAGGAGTTTGGATGGCCTGAAGATCGGAACATAGAATGCTGATGTGCTCAGAAATTGGAAGGTAGAAAAAATTTGGTACTCATGAAAGCTATTTGCATGAGGAGTTGAAGAAAACCAGTTATAATAAATGCGCGAAAAAGTCTCTTGTTAAAGCAATAAAACAGAGATGAAGTTGAGAATCTTGAGATTATTTGCCATTTCCAATATTTGATGTTTCCTTATAAATATATGTTTAGAATATTTATAAAAAGTGATGGATGACATCCGTCACATATCAATGCTTTGGCACAAATTGTTGCACATTTGCGAATTCTTTCCATCAAAGATTCCTGTGTAATGACATCAATTGGACCATTTGATGTAAGTTGCTTAATATTATTCATAAAATAACACTGGTGTCTGACGGCATTAAACACGATCCGAAATTGACAAATGACAAATGTTGGATTACAACTAATGTGTTGTTATATTGGGCCTGCGTTAACACTGCTACAAGACTGTATTGGGCTTGATATCTCTTGTTACAATCAACAGATACATGGGCATAATCATAGGCCTTGCGCATTGTTTCATGCAAGAAATTCCTTATAAACCTCAAATCTCGTGGACTATGGGCTTGGTGTTTGACGTAATAAATCTGAACTCATTAACAAAGTTTCTAAAAGATGTAATGAACAAATAAAAACAAAGATTGAATCAAACTTTAAAAGGCTTGAGAATCTCTTCATCCATCTATTTGTAAAGTCGTTACTCTTACCATAAAGACGTTGTACTAATGTTTACAAAACACAAATATGTTGTTTAGTGATGTTATTTAATATTAAGTAGTTGTCAGGACTCAGGTGGTATTTTATATTTTATTCAAAATATTTTGTACGGTTTAGTTTTTTTTATTTCACTCTTTCGGTGCAATGGAATTAGATTGAATCTGCAAGAACCAACTGGATTCGTTAATGTATACTGTGTCCCACCTGGGCACTGGGCTCATAATTTTTTTTTCTATCTAAGATTCTACGTGTACCACATCCATGAAATGAAATCTACAATAAGGTTATTTATTATATATCAAATTGCATTCTTTTTAATGTTTCCGTTAACTTTTTCCATTTCGGTTCACGAGTGAGAAAACTTAATTTGCGTTTGTGGCATGTGTCACCAACCCCACGCACCATCCATCGTCTCTTCACTTTTTTTCTTTTTTGGCATATATTGGTGGAGATTTGCCCAACCCTTCCTTACCAATCAACAAATGTCAGCTATTATTCGGTAATCAATCAAAGAATAGATTATAGGATTAAATTAAAATGGTGGATGGATGATTAGTGTCACTAAATCATTTTATTTAGATTAAGAAACCAGAAAAGCTTATTCCTAAAACCAAGGATGCGGGTCCTCCAAGATTCGACTCTAACCCATCAAAGAGTGGCAATCATTGAAGAATTCTTGCATTCAAATAAGCGAAATGTTGTTATGGGTCCTTATTATATACGTTGAGCCACCCTAGAATGAGTGAGTGGGAAGTAATTGCAACGATTTAAAATGGGATATAGTTAATGGAATTTGCTTCTCCTGACTCGAGTCCCACAATTGATTGGTCAAATAAAGGTGGCTAGGACTCACTAATGACCCAAAGCAGTGGATATGATTGATGATTGTGGCATATTAAAAAATGCACATAAAATCTAGGGCTCGATAAGATGGGTTGTGTTTATATGCAGGAGACAAATCAAAGAGAAAGCCACTTTTAGTTGCAAATACACAAGGTCTAACTGAGGTAGTATCATCCCTCCTTAATCCCATTAATCATTTTTTAATGATCATAAACTTCATGGTGTAATGACCAACCATGTACTTGTGTATGACCAATTCTTTACCTATATTGGCTATAGAATTTGTTATTACCAAATTAATTATCCCTAAAAATTTAAGGTTTTTAAGACAATCAATTCTTGATATTGCATGCATAGCGTAGTTAATCTATCATGTATATATAATGGGCCTTTAGCTCACAATTATTTATCATCACGAGTCTTTAATTTGTATTATCATTGTAGTATTGGCCGAATGCCTCGTGTTTTCAATGCACATAGTCATGATAGGCAAACGTGAACCCATCTTTTGGTGTTGTTGAAATGTATATCCAGAGTCAAATGAATCGGCAAAAGCGTTGTAGCTCCGAATTTATTCTATGCCTTATATTTTAAGTGAGAAACCTATAATTCATGTTACATATGAACTTCATTTATTAAATAGGTTTAACTATATTTTTGACTTCTCTAACTTTTTATTTAATCAATCACTTTAAAAGGTTATAAGTTTACTTTTTTCTTTCTTTTATACAATCTAATTTGTTAGTTTTCTTTTTGTTGACTATTAAATATTTTTTAATATATATATATATATATATATATATATATATATATTATAAAAATTTTGTCTATAGATTACATTTATTCTCTTTCAAATATAATCTTATCCAAGTTGCATAAGAACATAATAGATCTCTTCTAGATATTTGACATAATTGCATATTCAAAACTTAAATTTGAGAGAATTGATTAAATTAAAATATTTTATATCAATTGGTTCACGTGATTTATTGGTAATTTTATTTCTATATTTAATTTCCTTAAATATCACGAATAGTTTTTGTTTATTTAATCTCTTTTTGAGTACCATGAGTTTCCCATTTATGTACCAATTGTTAGATATTGCTGGATTCATTTGAATAATTCTAGACCTTTCTAAATTCAGACCCTGCAAAATTCATTTGATTAATTAAAAAGCAATCTTATTTAATTAAACAAACAACTTCAACCAAATAGTTAAAACACTTATAATTCAGAAACAGGTAAAGTCATTTACTTGTAATTGTAGCTTGATGATACTTTGCACACCTGAAAGAATCAAAGTTTGCTTACGCTCAATTTCACCCCTACGAAACACTGTTTCATTACTTAAAGAAAAATGAGTTAAATAAATTTTTAACTTCTCAACCTTTTAAAAATATAATTTTAAAATTTTAATTTTTTTAATCAATTTTTACACTTTTTATTTTTTTATATAAATTATTCTTAAAATTAAGTTTTATTTATTAAATGATAACATTAATAAAATAAAGCTTCACTAATATATAACTGTAAGCAAATAATAAAATTATATATGTCATATAATTTGACATCTATTAAATAATTAAACATAAACAAATAAAAAATTACATATATTATATAATTTAATATTTGTTAAATAATTATGTGAATATCAATTGACAAATTATATATGATCATCATTGTAAAGACTAATTTATAGGATAGAAAATTAATGGAGGATTAACAATTTATGAAAAACTAAAAATTAAAATTTAAAAAAATTGAAAGATTAAAAACTTATTTAATTCTAAAAGGGTCATTAACGTAATTTAAAAATAATTAGTGTTGTAAGAAGAATGATTGAGCAGGTAATGGTAAATTGTGCATCCCGAAAATATGGTAGATTCGAGGATTGACCAATCTTTTTTAATGTTAAAATAAATGTCTAGATGGAGAAGTTATGTTGTTCTTCACTCACGTGCGGGATACATCGACTTTCGTGCCTGTCCCTCTTCCCAATTCCTCACATTTATTAGGATTTCATTAATCAACCGACAAAACCCATCACTCACTTCTTTCCTTTCTTCATCCACTCATCTATTTTATAAATCAAATTATTATTTTTAATGTATAGGGATTATATTAGAATTTACGAAATATAGAAACTAAATTATATACTATGTTTAACAAAAATATAATATTAAGTGCAATTTTTTTTAAAGACTATCACAATTCTATTAAAAAACTTAATTTATTAAATTAGTTTTGAGATTACCGAAAACATTAAAAACAAGAAATAAAATCATCAAATATGATTCGTTCTCAATAATCACAAGCTAGTCATTTTAGAGTGATTTTTTTGTCAATAGATACTTCTATTGTAATCTCTTTTTTGATGGACGATATTCATTAATAGAATACTTTAATTTTATACAAACTTGTTTCTCATGAGATTTTCTTTTTCTTTCCTTTTGATGGCCGAATACCATGTTTTGGATATTTTTTATAATTAAATTAGTTTTTTTTTAAATAGGAAAAATTATAAAAATGATCTCAATGAGAATTGAATCTAGATCATCGTACTTCTAACTATCCAATCCCTAGTAGTTTATAATTAAATGTGTTTTATTACAAATAAAATGTTAATTAAATAAAAGATATTTTATTAATTAGTGTACAATGATAATTTTATGAGTTAATTGTGTAATTTTTTTTTATACTTCACGGTGTATGATTATTATTTATTAGACTCTTATATACATTAAATTATATTTTTTATCTCTTAAAAAATTATTTTAATATTTTATCTTATAAATTTAGATTAATTTAATCTTCTTCATTTTAATTTTTGATAGACTAATTAAAAATATAAAAAAAATTCTCATTATATTCATCTACATGAAAAATATGAAATCAAATTAATATTTAAACAAAAAAATTATAAACATAATAAAAGTTGTGCAAAAATAAAATTCATTAACAATAAACAACGTTATTAAATACAATTCGAATCAGGTAGTTTGACTAGTTAACCCAAAAACTGATCACTTAATCAGTTGAAACACTTTATTAGATTGAACAAATCTTACACCTCGGCTGGGTCGTGCACATTTCATTTTATTTATTTGGCTTCACTGGTAAAAAAAAATTAATACAAGTTTACACTTTGAACTCAAGCCACCTGCATGTTTGTAATGTAATGAACCACTATACGAAGATACTACTTTGATATTAACAATTTGTATTCTAAATTTTTTAAGATTTTCTAATGTATGATTTGATTTTTAAAAAAATAAATTTACAAGTTGTGAATTATTTTATAATTTTTTAATATTGACTAAGTCAAATAAATCAATTAGTGGCTCTATTTGATCTCTATCCATTAATACGGATAGAAAGGAAATTAAATAACTCTTTCAATTTTTTTTTAATGATCATTGAACTTGTTTTTTTTTTTTTTAGAAATATAAATTAATTAGATAATTGTTCATAAAATGTTATATTTTAGTTGGAGAGGATGTAGTAAAAAGAAAAAATAATCTCATAAGAATAATAAAAAAAATCATTTTATTCTATTTGTCTTTCAATTTAAATTAGAATCTGTTGTATAAGTTATGTAACTTTTTTTTTATATTGTTTTAATAAAACAACAAACAGGCAAACACTAGTTAAATAGGTGTGGATGCATTTGTCATCCGATTAAAATTTTGGTGTGTGTAACAACACTTTGTTGGCCAGTTAGGTTCTCACGGAATGAGTAAGAAATATGGGAGAGGCGAGGAAATACAACAAATAAGTTTGTTTGTTTGTTCTGTTTGGTATATAT